GGGGTTTCCGAAAATAGGGAACCCGAATAATATAGTACCCCAAATTAGTAGGATCCTTATTATAAGGGCCCCAAAATAAGGGACCCTAATTTAGAGAGCTATCCAAGTGGAGACAAGGAGTTTAGGATTTTGAGACTAAGAGCTGGCGGCTTAGGCTTTAAGGATTGCCAGCTTGCTGTTGTTTCTGTGGTTTTCGTTCTGTTCATTACGACCCTAAGCCCTAAACCCTAAAACCCTAAGACCCTAAACCCTAAAACCCTAAAGCCTAAAACCCTAAGCCCTAAACCTTAAAGGCCTAAAGCAGTAGCCCCTTAAACCTAAACCCCAAGACCCTTAAACCCAGAGCCCTAAACAGCGGGAGTTCGTATCAGCCGGCTCCAGCAGCGATAGCGCTTCCTGGGCTGCAAAGGCCGCAATTAGAGCCATAAGAGTTTAGGATGTAGGGTTTAAGGCTTTAGGGGTTTAGGGGTTTGGGTTTAGGGCTTAGCGTCCTGCATTGAGCCGCTTGCGTTGCTGTTCAACTTCGCCCGTTCGCTCCAGCAGAGTTCGTTTTTAGGTTTCCTGACTTCTTTATCGTAAGGTCGTAGAGCAGGAGAATTATAAGCGAGCCAAGAGGAACTACAAAGGAGAGTATATAGGTAGTTCTCTAAACTAGGGTCCCTTTTTTTAATCCCCAAATATAGTGCGGCACCCTTATAGCCTTATATAAAGGACCCTCAAAAAGGGACTCTAATTTAGAGGGCTATCCATATATAGAGCCCTTGCAGTACCCATATAGAAGCCTTGTAGAAACCCTTATGGATCCCTTTAAGGGAATCCCTAAACCCTAAACCTTGAACCCTCATAGATCCTTTTGAGGAGCCCCATGAATATATCGACAAGACAACAAATGAAACGCTCCGCAGCTATGATCTATGCAGGTCCGCCCTTCAAGTTAAGGCGCCCTAAACCAGAAGCATAATTTAAGCGAAGTCCTCCTGCCAGGAAGCATCCGCACGTGCAGATCATTACACTGTCCGACGACAGGAGTGATGATGAAACACTGTCCCGGCCCAAACTTGCAGGCATCTTTTTGACTCGTGCCCACTCTCACGCTAACCAGGTCGTCCGGCTACTATACCAGCTGCGACGAGGAGGAAGCGGAGGAGTGAGTCCTTAGAGAGACAAGCCGCAGCAGTGTGTGCGCGGAGCGAAAAACCTAAAGAGCCCAGGGTTCCAAGGAAAACTTAAGAGCCCGTAAGGTACATAGGGAGGTAGTCCATCCTCTAGAGTTCTGTAAAGTCCCTGGGAGGGGAACAGCTTCAGTGCCTTTCGAGGAAAAGGTCGAATTGTCAGAGCAATTCGCAAGACTGAAGCCATGCCCCTTAGGCTCTGAGCGTCAGGGCGGTTGAACTCGCTGAAAGGATGCATGGCGAAGACGAGTCATGACGGAATTGCGAAACTGAGAAACCGGCCCAACGAGGATGCAACCGTGAGCAAGCCGGCGAGACGAGCGATGAAGAACCAAGCACTTTCAGCGCTGTCATGGAACCACGTTCCCACCGAGTCCGCCAGAGTCCGGACAACAGATAGCGAAGCTTGAACAGCAGGGCAAGATGAAAGAACGCCGAGCGAAACTCAAAAGCAGACGAGCAAAAAAGACGATGCATAAAAGGATGGCCCCAGATCGGAAGACGCTGCTTTACCCATGCCCTTTCTCGCAACCGTTAGTCGTAGTCCCAAAGTCAACCCACCAACGCCACAGGGGACGGCTGGGTCGCTGAGCAACTCTGTGGTAGGGATATGACTAGTTCTAGACTGGTGAGAGTAGTGTCTTCCGAACAAACACAACCATGTATGTCTTCCGCCGTAGCCGTGTCCAAGCTTCAAACAATAGCTACGCATCAAGACACAAACAAGATCAGGAAGACTAAGAAGGATGACCATACACAAGAAGGGGCATAGATAGCACATACAGCATCACGTCAAGGCTACACTAAGAATGGCCGCCAAAGTGAGGGCACAACGGAAAAAAACTTGGGTTCGCCATTGACTGCAGCAGCCTCAGCAAAAAACCCGGCTGCTACTAGACCAACATGCGATCCTGAATGCCATCAGGACCCAAGTCACCTTGGAAGCCCTCTCCGGAAGGACGGCGCAGATCAAGGCAACCAAGTGAGCGGCAACCTCAGAAAAAGAACGAGCATTGCACAATCGTGCATAGGTCCTTTACAACGCGACAGTCAACGACGTCGCCGTTAAAGCGCCGCAGCTGCTCGGCGGGAGCCTTGGCGAGCCCGCGTCAATTTTCCGAGAAGGCGACCATCTGAGCAGGTCTAGACAAGGCGAACAGGGTTGTGTTGGTGGACAAGACCACCAACCAGAAGCTCCTCGGCTTCGAGCTCTGCAGGTCGGCCCTCCGAGTTAAGACGTCCGAAACCATGAGCATAATTTAAGTGAAGTCGTCCTGCCAGGAGGCACCCAAACCTGCAAGCCGTCGCAATGGCCAAGGAATCCTCGGCCGAGGAAGAAGAAGAGTCGCTGTCCCGGGCCAAGCTTTCATGCGTCTTTCTGACTTGTGCCCACTCTCATGCTAACCAGGTCCTCCGGTTTCTACACAAGCTGCGAGGAGGACGGAGAGGACGACTGAGTGACTCAGAACCGCAGCAGTGCGTGCGCGGAAGCAAAACACCTACAGAGCCCAGGGTTCTAAGGAGAACTTCATAGCCCGTAAGGTACATAGTGAGGTAATCCATCCTCTAGAGTTCTGTAAAGTCCCTGGGAGGGGAACAGCTCCAGTGCCTTTCGAAAGGAAGGTCGAGTTGTCAGAGCAATTCGCAAGTCTGGAGCCAAGCCCTTGAAGCTCTGAGCGTCAGGGAGGTTGAACTCGCTCAAAGGATGCATGGCGGACACGAGTCATGACGGACACCGAGGCAACGGCCCAAAGAAGATGCAACCGTGAGAAAGCTGGCGAGAAGAATCGATGAAGAACCAAACTCTTTCAGCGCCTTCGTGAAACCACGCTCCCACGAAGTCCGCAAGAGTCAGAAGAACAGGTAGCGAAGCCTGAACAGCAAGGCGAGATGAGAGAATGCCGAGCGAAACTCAAAAGCAGACGAGCAAAAGAGACGAGGCAAAAAATGGCGGCCTCAGATCGGAAGACGCTGCTTTACCCATGCCCTTTCTAGCAACAGTTAGTCGTAGTCCCAAAGAAAACTTACCAATGCCACAGGGGACGCATGGGTCGCTGAGCACCTCTGTGGAAGAGGGATAGGACTAGTTCTAGAATGGCGAGAGTAGCACCTTCCGAACAAGAGCAACCATGTATCTCATCCGCCGCAGCCGCATTCAAGCTTCAAACAGAAAGCAGAAGCCAGATACGGAGCAGTAAGATAAACCGTCAAACACGAGTTCGCAGTTAAACACAGAGCAGTGCTTCAAGCATTACCTCAATAGTCTACCAAAGATAAACAAGTTCAACACCACCTCTGCTATGGTGTTGCACAAGTTCGCAAAGGCGGTCAATAAAAGGCGGGCTGATCTTCAAATTCAGCCCACGCATGCCCCGAAATAAAACACTGCTAGGAGGGCCAAGATCGAGGTGGAAGCACGGCTGGCAGGGCGCGACCAGTACATCACCTTTCAGGCGAGAAACATTAAACACTTCCGCCACAGAATACATGCACGCAGCTTTGTCAGGTACGCCCTTTTGGACGCTGAGCGAATTTCAGGCAAAGAATGCAAGCATGCGACGGTCACCGGAGCATGTCGTGCTCTCTTTGCTCCCTGCCAGGCTCGCGTCGTGGCCCATTTTGTTGATCATGAAGATCGACCCGAGACCTTCGCGATCTTCAACGTGTGGGAGCCAACGCGAAGCAACTCAGCTGAATCGGTTTGACACTCGAAATAGCCGATCCAGACATAGCTTAGGTCCAAACACGAAGTTGAGAGATTTCAAGCTCAACCTCTTCGTGATCCACGACATGCTGCGACCCGTCTTATTCACTTAAGAGCCGCAGGTAAGACGTCCGCCTCCGATCCGAGCGTTTGCTCAGGTTGACCCACCGCGACTACGGCCAGGAATGAGGGACCCAAAACCCGCAGCAGTGCGTGCGCGGAAGCAAAACAGCCCCTCAAAGGGATCCTTTGAAGGTCTCACAATGGGTTTAGGGTTTAGGGGTTTAGGGTTTAGGGTTTTAGGATTTTAGGATTTTAGGATTTTAGGGTTCAGGGGTTTAGGGTTCAATAAATTCTCGATGTGGGTTTAGGGTTGCTATCCGAAGACAGGGATGTCTCAGGGAGCCTAGAAATATTGACATAGTTCAACATCAGAGGTATTAGGATGGATCTAGTATTCACGGGCTCTAAGGGTTTAGAGGCCTAGGGGCCTACTATGATTTGACCCTCATGTTGAGCATAGCCGAGGGGTTTAGGGCTTTGGGGGTTTAGGGGTTTAGGGCTTTAGGGGTTTAGGGCTTTAGGGCTTTAGGGTTTAAGGGGTTTAGGGGTTTAGGGGTTTAGTAAAGTCCCGTCTTTTGATTGTTCCTTGTGGTGCCGGCCCTCCGGCCGCACAGCCGCGACATCTTCGATAAAACTTGAGGCATTGTCGCGTTCGCCCGACGGAGACCATCCCTAACCAACCTCAAAGAGGTTTAGGGTTTAGGGGCCTCCCCCCCCCCCCCCCCCCCCACCCCCCCCCCCCATAAAACCCTAAAGCCCTAAGCCCTAGACCCTAAACCCCTAAACCCTAGTATCCGAAACCCACCGTGACCTTAAACACTCCTAAACCCTACATTGTGTCCAGCCCATGCCAAGTCCTTGCCAGAAAGCCTCTCAGGCCCGTTTTAACCCCGAAACCCCTCCGCCCAAGCCACGAGAGCCTTTAGAAGAATCTGAACCCTAATTAGCAGGGCCACTACCTTAAGCCCCTATACCCTAAACCCTATATTAAGCCCCTCCCAAAATTCCTCCGCACACCAACCCTAACCCTGAACCCCAACTAGTAGGGACACTATCTAAAGCCTCTAAACGCTAAACCCTAGAACACTAGAAACCTAAACCCTAAAGCCCCTATATTAAATCCCTAATTCCTCAGCCAAAACCCTAAACCCTAAAAGCCCCTACATTAAGCCCCTAATTCCTCAGCCTAAACCCTAAACCCTAAAAGCCCCCTAGTTCCTCAGCCTTTCGGCTTCCAGCCCTTAGGTCGCACAACGTTCTTCGGAAGCGACGGGCCAAGTACATTGATCATTGGGTGCCTCGGCCGGAGGCGTTTGAACAGGGTTTTGGGGGTTTAGGGTTTTAGGGGTTTAGGGTTTAGGGTTTAGGGGTTTAGGGGTTTAGGGATCTAGGGATTTAGGGGTTCAGGGTTTAGAGTTTAGGTTTCTAGTGTTCTAGGGTTTAGGGTTTCTTTTCGGGTCACTTTTGAAGGGGTCGATAAGGATTACTCTTAGGGCTACTATCAGCGTGTTTGGGTTTAGGGTGTGGGGTTTAGGGTCGGGCTTTAGTATTCTATGGGTTTTGGGTTTCATAAAGTTCCGTACAAGGGGTCTTCAAGGGTGCCTGTGAGGGTTCTGCCAGGGGTTCTATTGGGCTTCGAAGCCTTGAAATAGCCCCTAAAAGGTATCGGCAACCTAAACACCGCGTCCGAATAGAGAAGCGTTTGGAAATCTTTTTGAAAAGCGTCTTGGACTTTACGATGTGTGTCCGTTCTAAAGGGGTCTTCAACAGAAAACTTGAACCCTAGATCCTCACACTCCAAAGTCGAACACGAATGTATAAGTGCGAATCGCATCCGTGGCTCGAAAATCTTGGTGCCCAGTCACCGGGACCCTAAATTCTAAACACCTGAGATGCTTCGAGACTCAAGATTATAAGGGTCTTAATAGTTACCTGTACTATGTTTGGGGCTCCTGAAAATAGTTATAGTATAACATACCCAAAAACCCCTATTCTAAATATAAAGGCTAAGGCCCCTGTAGGACGAAACCCAAGCCCACTCAGGTCAGCCTCCTAGAGGCAGCGCTCTGGGTGCGCACCGGCGTAGTTTGGGCTCCGTGTCTGTCTGAATGTGTGCGTCTGTGTTTGTTCGAGCATGCTACTACTAATTATTGCTACTACTACTACTCCTCCTCCTACTACTACTACTCCTGCTGCTGCTGCTGCTACTACTACTACTACTACTACCACTACTACTGCTTCTGCTACTTCTGCTACTTCTGCTACTTCTCTACTTCTACTTCTACGGCGGCTGCAACTACTGCGATTTCTACGACGCTACGCCTTACGACCGTCACTACCACAGCGAGTACGGCGGTTGCTATAGTGATACCTTTTCTGCACACCTGCTGATATTGCTGCTAGATTGATGTGTTTGAGCTTTCGCTATCGTCGCTGTCTTTGGAGAGTAGAATTAGAAATTACAGTTTTTTGAGAGCAGCAGCATGTTGCTCCTGGTACTGCAATCTGGAGCCGCAGAGTTCGCCTCTCCCAAGCGCAGGGTGCCATTCTGCTTTGCAAGGTCATCCAGGAGCCTCAACCACTAGCATACACTTCCTGGCCATGGTTCCTTGTTCGTCTCCATTCTCTGAGTGCAGCTGCAGAAAAACGTGATAGCATGCCACCGGAAAATACACACAAGTGTCAGAAATTGCAGGCCCTAGCATGCAACCGTAAATAACGGATTAACGGATAGGAAGCTCTTTTGCGGAGACATCTCTTTTTTCTGAGGCCCTCGTAGGTGCTGCTTGCCTTGTCACTACAAGTTATGATCAACACTTGTTGTTCAGCCAAGCTGCGACCTACTAAAATCAAGATCCTGAGTGACAATTATCAGCAAGTGAGCTCAAAATCCCAACCCTCAAATCCGAATCCCCAAACCCTAAACCCTCAACCCTACAGCTTCACCCTGAACCCTAAACCCCAAACCCCTAAACCCGTAGACCTGTGGTGATGCCAGGATCAGGATGAGGAAGCCGTCAAAAAGGCAGAGACTGCCCTGCGCCACTTGACAGAGATTCTGGGTTTAGGGCTTATAGGGTTTAGGGCTTAGGGGTTTAGGGTCTATATAGGGAACTAGCAACGAAGGTTCAGTGTATGGGGGCTTAAGCTACCCTAATCTTAGACTATAACCTATATTTTTGTAGGGTCGGGTTTAGTGGTGATTGTATTTGTTGGGTCCAGGAGCTTCCAGTAAGACAGGGCGGGGAGGTTCGTGCAGAAGGGCTTGGATGCTTGGATAGGTATAGCAGAATACTTGAAAAGTCGCATGAATAAGACAGAGAATGGGCAGGTAAGCCCCAAGCCTGCCAATCCTTAAATCCTCAAGTCATCTCAAGCCCTGAAGCCTGAAACCGGACGTTCGAGCTGGTATAGGGGTACGGTGTATAGGGGCTTGACTTACAAGAGGGCTTTGGATAAGGTCCTGTCCTGAGAGTTTCGTGAGCCTGAAGCCCTTAATGTTACTAAACCCTAAATCCACCACCCCTAAGCGCCTTAACCCTAAACCTCAGCTTAGACGATAGTTTATAGGTCTGAATGTGTACTAATATCTATGTATCTATTTGTCTATTTGTCTGCCTATCTATCTATCCATCTACCTGTCGACTTATCTATCTACCTACCTATCTACCTACCTAGCTACCTACCTACCTATCTATCTTTCTATCTGTCAATCGATCTATCCATTTATCTACCTGTCTATCGATCTATCGATCTACCTATCTACCTACCTATCTACCTATCTATCTGTATAATATGTATATATATATGTACATTTGTACATCTGTGTTGATCTAGAGCTCCTTGAGCCATTATTTATATGAACGGCCAACTGCATAGCTACATATGCCTTTGCGAAAGTTCCGCGATGGTGTCGCTAAAGTATTTTTCTGCGAAAGTTGTCTGTTTGGCCTACTCGCCGCATTATTTCGATTTCTATTGCTATTTCTGTGACTAGTACTCGTACTAGGACTTTGACTATTGCTATTACTGTTGCTTTTGCTACTACTATTGTGAAAGTGTTACTGCTGTTACGATTTTTACTAGTATTACCAGTATTGCTATTATCGTTATGACTTCTTGCAACTGTAAGTGGTACTGCTGTAACTACTCCTCCTGCTGCTGCTGCTGCTACTGCTACTACTACTGCTGCTACTGCTACTGTTACTAGTCTCCACTTGCTACCACTACCTGCCATACCTAGTACCCACAACTTTCGCAACGACAAACCCGAAAGTTCGGTTGTTAAGGTCTACGTAGCTAGATCAAGGCCACCCCCCAATGGACATTCTTGGTGCATTTCGCCAGCCACTCGCCGACTAGGAGCCCCTACGACCCTGGCATGACCCCATGAAGGAAGCTTCTCAATCCTCCGTTGGTACGAAAGCCTGTCCAACGGCTTCCAAAGCCCTAAAGCCTGTGGGAAAGGCTCCCAGAAACTCTCAATCAATTGGCGCACCACAAGCTTTGCCATCGAGAAACTTTCAGGAAAACTTTTGTCCACAATCTAAGCCCTCAGACGGCTTCAGACTGCCGTAACCAGCCGTTTCCAACTGTTGTAGCTTTCCACGCAGCCCTGAATCGCCTAGGAAGCCTGCCAAAAACTCTTAATTATAATGCCCGTAACAACTTGTCATCGCGAAGCTTATAGCTGATGACTCAGGGTTCTAACTTGCAAAGGGATGTAAATATGCCTTCGCGAAACTTTTCTGTGATGGTGGCGCACAAGTTAGTTTTTACATTCGTGAAGAGGGTCATTCCGGGATGAAGCAATTTAGATCCACATACCATATATGTGTATAATTGTGGTATCATATACTCCGACACCCTGGTCTAACCACTAAGGCCGCCTTACAGGTCCAAGAAGATCTTATGTACGAGGTGTGTTCAGAGTTTCTATCAGGCAACCATCTTGCAGCCCCAGGTATACGTATCGCTCGAGTCCGGTTTAGGGTTTAGTGTTTAGGGTTTTAGGGTTTTAGGGTTTAGGGTTTAGGGTTAAGGTTTTAGGGTTTCGGGTTTAGGGTTGAACACAAACTGGGCCAGAAGGAGGATCAGACGAGCCTGAAGTGGGGCTCTATAAGCAGATCTGACTATGGAAAGCTTCCCTAAACCCTAAACTAAACCCCGAACCTAAGCGACCAAAGCAGTCACTAACCCTAAACCTAAACCCTAAAGCCTCGAAGCCCAAACCCGAAGCCCGAAACCTTTCAGCCTTCCCTGCGCAGCCCGAACTTCGGAATTCGAGGCGGCTACAAAAGCAGCTGGATTTGGGGGAAGAATCCTCGCATCGACACGAGCGAGCTGCGTCGGGACAGATGGGAGGGTTTCAGGGTTTGGGGGTTTTTTGGGTATGGCAGGAGAGTCCTGAACCCTCAACCCTTGTGATGTAAGGATGTGGCGGTTGATGCGGTGAAGATGCAGAGAGTTCGGAGAAGTGGCCAGTTTTTTGTGTGTTGTTAACCCTACATCCTGAAAAACCCAAAAAGCCCTGAACTGTGCCAGCGAAACTCAATTTCGAGTTGAGGGGCAAGCGCGGAGCAACCTCCAGTCTCTTGCCGGGTCTCCTTGGAAGTACTTGCTCGATGTCTTCGTAGTAGAGTAAGTCTAGGTTCCTGAGTAGTGCCCTTTTGCTCTTTTTACTTTAGGGTTCCCTTATTCAAGCTGGGTGTTAGGAAAAAGGGTACCCTTATCATTAAGGGAGCACTCAGGAACCTAGAAGTAAACTCTGGCCTTTTTGCGGGTTACTCTCTGATCCCGTTCTGGATAGTTCTCTGAATTAGGGTCCCCTGATGATCTAAATCCTGCATTACCCATACTAAGGAATGTACCATAATTCCCACAGTTTAGGGGTCCTTAAGCTAGTGCAGGATTTATATCATCAAGGGTATCGATGCATGGTTCAGAGTCTCACATGGACATAGTTCAGAACATTCACGAGAACCAGAGCCTGCCTAGCCACGTAGCACCTCAGAGAGCTCCCGGGCAACGACGGCCTCCCATCTCGGGCTACTAGTGCGGTTTAGGGTTTAGGGTTGCTACTCGTACGGTTGCTATTTTCATGGAGTTGTTGCTAGACCGAGTGTTGATATTCTGGCTAGTCTTCCTCTGCGTGTCTGTACCTCGGCTCCCAGATGGCCCTAAGAGACAGCTGCATAGAAATTCTGGTGTGGCCTTTAAACCCTAAACCCTAAACCCCTAACCTCTAAACCCTAAGCTTTAGCGCAGCAACGCAACCCAAGACAGACGGACACAGACCGAGCCAGGGCCGGAGACAGAGACGGGGTTGGTTGGTCAGTTGATCGGTTGGTTGGTGGATGATCCCCAAAATCCCACACCCTACGGTCGATGATATGAATCCTGCATTACCCATAATAAGGAATATACCATAAATTCCCATAGTATTAGTGTCGCCTTGTTGTAATGCAGGATTTGTATCATCAACCGTAACACCCAAAACCGAAGAGGAGCAGAGTCTCCAAGCGGGGGTCAGCGTGGCGTACCTTACCTCGGACGAATTCCTTGACACGGCGTGACTCGGTCACGGAAGTTTCGGGCCTAGGCCTTAGAGTCTTAGGGTCTTAAGGTTTTTGGCTTAGGGTTTAGGGTCTTAGGGTTTAGGGGCTTAGGGGCTTGGGGGTTTAGGGTCTTAGGGTCTAGAGTCTAGGTTTCGCGTTGCTTCGCTGTGGCGGGTTTGGGGTTTTAGGATGTGCTGTAGAGGTCGTGCCTAACTGGTAATTATCCATATCCGCTTAGAATCCCAATATGCGTACTTCCTATACTATCCAGTAAAATTCAGTCATTACGGTCCTGGTAACCCTGAACTCTAGACCCTGAACACCCAAAGCCCCTGAACCCTAAACCCCTAACCCCTGAACCCTGAACCCTAAACCCTGAACCCTAAATAAACCCCAAAACCCCTGAGCCCCAAAACCGTAAGCCCCAAAACCCCAAAACCCCTAGCCCCTAAACCCTAAACCCCAAAACCCCTGAACCCCTGAACCGCTTTAAGGGTTCCTTTAAAGGATCTATACGGGCTCCTTTAAGGGACCCCTGAACCGCTGGTAGTATCGCGGCCAGCGGCCCGGGAGACTTGCAGTCGAGGGCGAAAGGGTCTGGGGTCACAGTTCGGATGGCTTAGCCTTCCCGAGCTGCTTTGAGGGTTTGAGGCCTAGGGTTTAGGGTTTAGGGTCTAGGGTTTAAGGCCTAGGGTTTAGGGTCTAGGGTCTA